TTGTTGATTAGCAGTAATTAGCAATGCATACATACTTCCAGACTCAGTATTTGGAGTGTATGGTGATCAATGCCAAATGAGAAAGTAGGACTAATTCTTCACAAATCAGACGAAAAGCTTTAAGTAAAATGAGTTCCAAGTGAAGATGCTAATTCCTCTCTTTTTTTCTCCTCTAGACTCAGGCAGTGCTGCGGCAGGCGTGGCTGGAGAACATCCGACCCGTGCTCGTCATCAATAAGATCGATCGGCTAATCATAGAGCTGAAGCTCAGTCCGCAGGAGGCCTACACGCACCTTCAGAAAATTCTGGAACAGGTGATCTGCTGTACTGCACCACACTGCCTTTATTTCAGATGTAGTTGTTCAAACAAGACGTTAATTATCTTAAGTTTGCTTGTTTTCTTTAGTTTCAGAACTGGAGCTATGAAGCCAATGTAGCTAACAAGTAATGGAGGCTTTTATCCCAGTTAGCATGGTGCTATCTCCATGCCTCAGACCATGTGGAGTAATGTCAAATAGACTTGATATGAGATTTCTGATACTGTATGACATTATTCTTTCTTCACGTCTCACAGTATAAATGAACTTTCTTGTTAATTCTTGGTGTAATGGGTGGTTTGATCGCCTACAGCCTCATGCCCACAACTACAGCACACCATTGCCAAAATCTCACAGTATATCCTTCTCATGTATTATTGCGTAAATGCAACCGTGGTATGTTGTTGTGTGCTGCAGGTGAACGCTGTTACGGGCACTTTATTCACCTCCAAAGTTCTGGAGGAGCGGGCAGTGAAGGAGGCGGAGGTACAGGAGGCCGTTTCGGAGCCCAGCGGAGGAGAGCTGGTTTATGACTGGAGCGCAGGCCTTGAGGAGACGGACGATTCACACCTATACTTCAGCCCGGATCAGGGAAACGTGGTGTTCGCCAGCGCCATCGACAGCTGGGGCTTCAGGTACGCAGTCTGCATGCTTACACACACTCTGGACTACAGTTTGACAGTATCTGTTTTTTCTGTGCATTTAAACTGCCTCCAAATATTACCGCAGTATATTGTATTATCAGGGTAAGGGTGTAAAAAAACATTTGAGTAATGTAAAAGCATTTATGTTGCATTTGTGCTGTCTCAACTTGCCATTTCAGCATGAAAATAATAAAAAAAAAGCTTAGTTTGCTTACATGGTCACCAGGTAAGCGAACACCATGCATGATTTGCAAGCCATCATTCAGTGAATGTCAAACCGTCTATCTTACAATCGCTAAATGTTAAACAGTGCTGCTATGAGAGAGGAGCTGGTTTGCATTAGCTTAGCTAGCATAATAAAAGCTCTGCTCACCACCGAACATGTTTGATTCTGACTAACCAGTACCAAAACAAGTTTTGATTAAAATTATTCAAAGCTGTGAAACTGAATTCACGTAACTGGGAATGCACAGAAAAGATAAATTAAACTTGTCCTGTGGTATTTGGATCTGTAGCCTGATTGGCTAAGTAAATGTTAGCTTAGCAAGCAGCTACAGACCCAAAGAGAGCCACACACCTCAGTACAAGTTTGATTCTGACCAACTGCTGCTCTGGTGAAACAAGTGCAGATAATAAAAGCTAATGTCTGAGAGAGCAAAGTGGAGTGACCGGTGCTGGAGTGACAGAAAGCCCTAATTGACCCTGTTGTGTAGCGTTTGGGACGGCAGCATTTTGGCTAAGCTAATGATAGCTTAGTTAGCAGGCCGAACATGCCACACACTGCAGCACGGGCTCGGTTCCAGCTATATGCAGCTAAAATGACCCCCGCTTAAAGGATAGCAGAGTCGAGTGACTGGTGTTAGAGTGAAAGCTGAAATTGAACATGTTCTGTGGTGAGAGTAGCTTTCAGCTGTCGTTGAGCTGCTATCATGCTTAGTTTTTCTGAGGATTTTCCTGCCTCTGATTTTTCTACTTCTTTCTGTCAGCGTCGCCTGTCGATCAGCTCTCAAACCACTAATCGGTGCAATCTGTATAATTCAAGTGGCAAGATGTAAACAGTCATTCAGAGTGGTCCGGTGTGATATGGTTGATTGTAGAGACTCTAGATTTCTTTACAGTAGTGGTGATAGGAACCAGGGGTCACCATGTCTACAACAGGAAAATAGACATTTTATTTATTATCCAAAGCCACCAGTGAACCTACATGTGTCTTCTGAGTTTTTATGTCATAATATAATGATAAAATAGTGTCAAATTTGAAAAAAATATGGTTTCTTTCGTGACTGCTTTCTAGGGGTGTGGGAAGAAATCGATTCTTAGATGCATCGCGATACGGACGTGAACCCTCTGCATTAAAAGCCAGGTTAGATCAGGAGTCGCAACACAAATGATAAGAAGAGACATTTTGTCCTTTCAACAAAAATCAAACCAGCTTGGGAGCCGCAACTTTTAATGTCCAGTATGTCTCAGTATGCGCTGATGTCCTAGTATAGGCTAAACAATATAAACGAGAGCGCAGATTTACTTTGCTGTGCTTTAAGCTTCGCCTACAGCCGCTTTCCTCCCATCTCCACCAGAAAACTTTTCCTCAGAAGTAGATCAGTTAAATGTCTCTCAACGTTCCGCTGTTTTACGAGGCTGAAGTCGCTTCTTATTCTCCAGCTTCTTGTTCGAATTTTCCCGTTCCACCTGAAATTCTAACTGAGGCGCCAAATGAAAATGCGGCACCATTTAAGGTGGAACAGGAGAATTCGAAAGAGAAGCGACTTCAGCTTCGCCACTTTTTAGTGTTTGACAGTCTCTCGTTGCAGATTTAACGTACCAGGAAACCAACTGCGCTGCTTATAAATGCGAATAACACATTGCTGCTGTGTGACCTGCAGTCTGCACGGCGGTTCTCAGTCGTTGCGAAACAGGGCTTTCGCGCTATATTGCACACGACCCGTCTCAAAGATACTTTACTGACACAGCGATCCCCCCCGACTCTACAACGAGACCAAAACCGAAGTTATAAAATCACTAAAGAAAACGGGTAGAATAGCTGTAACGTAGACATCCATCCCCACTGGATCTCATTTCACCGTAACTGCGTATTTTATCGCATTTTAAGCAGCTTCTCGTGCTGCAAACAAGAGCACTGAATGAGAGCCTTCTAGTTCACTTGCCACATCACTTCCATTTGTTTTATTAAAAAAGATATTGGAAGTAAATTCATTATGGATCATTACAAATACTTTGCTTTAAAGGTACCAAGTCACTTTAAATAACAACACTGAGTCACTTAGTCACTTTAAAATGTATATTGTCTCTATATTCTGTGTATATTTTGTGTATATTTAATATATTTCAGTTGGTTTTTCTTGTATTTTTATTTTTACTTATTTACTTTCTGTAGAGTGATTAGCTGAGCCTCACCACAAGCATTTCAATGCAAAAATGTCCTGACATCTTGTGCAAGTGACAAATAAGCTTGAACTCAAAACTTGAGCACAGTGAGAAAATATAAATGCTATATAGAAAAAAAAGATGCATCAAGATGCATCGATAATCTTTTTATAATCTCATCGCAGCCCTTTGAATCATAATCTGATCGAATCGTGAGGTGCCTAGAGATTCCCACCCCTACTGCTTTCCATCCCAATGTCCTACATATACATTCCTGCCATTAATGAATTTTAAAAATTCCATTTGTTAATAACCATTTTATGTAATAACTTATAGTGATTCATGTAATAACTTATAGAGCTTTTAGAGGTGGATGTCTGGTTCCTGTCACCACCACTGTGAACCATTCTGATTGATTCTCTACAACAACACATTTCAAGTCAAACTCTTGAGTGACTTTGCTTAAATCAAATATTTAATTTGCCTTTTATTTCATTAATCTGAATTAATGCATTAACATCATATAGTTTATCATATTTGCCTTATTGTAATAGGATCAGTATTGAGTTGTTGGAGAACAGGGACCTTGCTAAGTTTAGTGTTTGTGGCTTTGCCACAGTTAATTAGCTGTCCACTAGATGGTGCTCTTGTCAAAGGTTTTGTCCTTTGCAGCACCCTCCCTTTTACAGCAAGGGTTACAGCATGGTCACAGTGCAAATTTCTTGCGGTATAAATTATATAATTACAAATGACCTAATATTCCAGTTACAAGTGGCCAGCATTAAAAGCTTAATAATAATGCACAGGATGGCAGTGCTGTGGGCACAAGTGGGCTTTCTCCACCACTTTTGGCTGGAAGCTTTTTGCTTTTTGGTGTCAAGTTTGAAGCTTTTAGTTGGACACTGTGAAAGCACTCAGAAGTGAAGTGCCTGTAGTCAGTGGATTGCAGTTTCAAAACTGATGTTCCAAAGCAAGGACGTGTGAATATGTTTGATGAGAGTCTGCTCTTATGTGTCAGTACAGTGCTAAAGTGATGCTATCCCAACAGCGTTAGGGTTACCAGCGGTGACCTCAAATGAGTGAACTAATTGTTCTCTTCAGTGGTTGTAACAGTTTGGCTCTTATAGAGAGCAGGAGGAGATAGTTGTAAGTGAAGCATCATCATTTTGCAAACTTTAAGTAAGCCACTTAAGTGATGACTAAGGTGTTTTTGAGGCCGTCTGCCAGTATTGTGTAAGCAGTGCAGCCTAATGCATCATATGTGCCCCGTTTTCTAGGGATGGACTGATGCTATATACGACATTGCTATATTTATCTCTGTATTCATACCTATAGCACTGTACCATATAATCAGAGCAAGCATTTTTGTTATTGTTGTTGTGACTTAACAAGGGAAAAATACTTTGAGTGGCCAGTTGGAAATGGAACTGCCTATTGTATATCTCCACTTGCTGGATATATATATATATATATATGTGTATGTATATATATATATATATGTGTATATATATATATATATATATATATATATATATATATATGTATATGTATGTATGTATGTATGTATGTATATGTGCGTATATATATATATATATATATATATATATATATATATATATATATATACACACACACACACACACACACACACACACACACACACACACACACACACACTGCCTGGCCAAAAAAAGGTCACACACTCTAATATTTCGTTGGACCGCCTTTAGTTTTGATTACGGCATGCGTTTGTTGTGGTGTCATTTCAACAAGCTTCTGTAATGTCGCAACATTTATTTCTGTCCAGAGTTGCATTAATTTTTCCCCAAGATCTGGTATTGATGATGGGAGATTTGGACCACTGCGCAAAGTCAGTCCCAAAGATTTTCAATGAGGTTCAGGTCTGGACTCTGTGGTGGCAAATCCATGTGTGAAAATGATGTCTCATGCTCCCTGAACCACTCTTTCACAATTTGAGCCCGATGAATCCTGGCATGGTCATCTTGGAATATGCCCGTGCCATCAGGGAAGAAAAAATCCATTGATGGAATAACCTGGTCATTCATTATATTCAGGTAGTCAGCTGACCTCATTCTTTGGGCACATAACGTTGCTGAACCTAGACCTGACCAACTGCAGCAACCCCAGATCATAGCACTGCCCCCTCAGGCTTGTACGGTAGGCACTAGGCATGATGGGTGCATCACTTCAGCTGCCTCTCTTCTTATCCTGATGCGCCCATCACTCTGGAACAGGGTAAATCTGGACTCATAAGGCCACATGACCTCCTTCCATTGCCCCAGAGTCCAATCTTTATGCTCCCTAGCAAATTGAAGCCGTTTTTGCCGGTTAGCCTCACTGATAAGTGGTTTTCTTAAGGCTACACAGCTGTTTAGTCCCAGGGTTTAGGGTTGTGGACCATTCTCCTGACCATTCTCAGGACAGCAGTGACACTGTCCTGGTAGCATGTGTGACACTGATAGCTAATTTGTTGATGCACAGATTTAGCCATACTGTACCCTAGATTTTCCAGATTAGGGGGTCTTGGTGTGATGGGGGCGGGGAAACCCTTTAGGCACCCTGGCTCTAAATTCTGGTCAACGGTGGTCCTGTGATAGCCCCTTCCATTGATGAATGGGGTAGAGGAGGGCTGATAACTTTTGCATAAACAGATTGGCTTCTGCCTCCAATCATAAACCTACAAAGTGCATTTTAAAGGTAGGTGTTTCTGATAAAATGGCTTATGAATGGATGTACAAGGTAGGGGTCTTTAGGAAATTGTCCACCGTATGTTCTGTGGATAGCTTGCAGTTGAATGATGCTGATGCTGACTTCATCCCAGAAGATCTTACAGAATCAACCAAGGAAAAGCATATGGTATGTTAAACACTGATCTGTTTTAGAAGAGTTGATGTATTGGGGGAGATATTGGTATAATGTCATTGGGGAACAGGGACATTTATATGTGGTCTGTCATTTTAATTCTCTTGCATAAAATCCGATATACGATTAATGTTCATATCTTATTATGCAAAACTGAATATGTGGGGTAAATAGACTAATAGGATATTTGAATGCCTCTTTTTCTTGGCTCTGTTGTTCCAGCATCCATCAGTTTGCGCAGATCTACTGTCAGAAGATGGGCATTCGCTCTGAAGTTTTACAGAAGACCCTGTGGGGGGATTTCTACCTTAATGCCAAAGCCAAGAAGATCATGAAAGGAGCACAGGTACAGTGCTTGGACTTCAGGAGCGCTTTGTGTAGCATTTTTCTGTAACTTGTACTTGCTGGTAGTCAGTTATGATGCTGAATAGGACTGCAGCTAACGATTATTTCTATTAGAGATTGATCCACCGACTACCACTTTATTAATCGGAGAGTCAAGCCATAATATGTTTAGTTTCCTCAGAGTTCACCACAGTTACTCAACTTTTCATCTGAGAAACAGGTTGTTCTTTTATGGTGCAACAAAACAATACAAACCATATCGCCCCCTACAATTCCTGTACTGTACTACAACCTCTCAGAAAGACAGAGTGGATTATGTGAAAGTTATAAAGCATTATAGAGCTGAATAATTAAGTGATTACAGAAACATGTATTTACAAATATTTTTAACCCCTTAAATTGTCTTGAGGACTAGACATCAGCTTGTGATGTGAGTACATGACTGTGGACGACTTGTTAAGCATTTGGTGCTTGATTACAGTTAGTACAATCAACAACACAAGCAAAACAAGCTAGCTAGTGTATTCCCTTACACTTGATAATGTTTATTTTTACTGCATGTAATATGTTGTCCGCACAGCTGACTCGGCATCTGCATACTTATTTGGGGGGGCTTTTTAGCCATGCAAACTTACATTACGTCAATGAGCTAACAAAAGGCTTCTTAATGATCAGACAGTGCTGACGAGCTCACCAGCGCCCCCTAGGGCTTTAGGCTTCACGATGGCTTGGATTTGTTTTAAAAATGTCATAGTTTCCGTCCAAGTCTACATTCCCACCCACTGTAACCCCAGACTCGTTACAGGGTCATGTCTGGCACTGCAGGAAACTGCAGTTCTGTTGTTTAGTTATTAATCTTAAGATTTGTTCTTAAGATTCTTAAGAGATTGTTCAGTAACTACTGTGAAACTAATGTCATTTAGTGCTGTCAGTTAGTGTAGTCATGAAAAATTTAATCATGATCACACATACAAGCCTTTTGCAGTTTAAGGGAAGCAAAACTGTCAATAATACTGGTGAATAAATGACATACTGGCAATATACCAGTATTGAAAATCAATCTGCGTTGGCTGAGCTATAGCTCGCTACGGTCAGGCTGCGGTTCTTAGGTTCCCTTTCTGTGTGGGTGTGGAATGAGTGGACTAAAGTGTGTTGTGACAGCAGGGATACTCCATTTAGCTGTCCAGCCTTTCAAGTGCCATTTAGGACATTCATACATGCTGCTGTTCAGACTCAGCTATGCTAATGGCCAGCACTTTCTCTCCTAAAACCTCCATGTACGGCCTCAAGAGGACAGGAGCGCTCAGGAGCTCTCATTAGCATCCCACTCAGACTGCAGTATGTCCCTCTCCACGGCCAAATGAACTGGACATAATAGACCTGGATACAGCGCTGACCGCTTGGCTGAACATCCACGTTAACTCGCTTCTGTAAGCGATAAGGACATTCATGACATTCATTTTTCTGCTTCATCTTTTTCCTGTTTCAGTTCTGACCGCCGGCGGTTCCAGTTGTTTATACTAGAGAGAGTAGATCAGTTAACTGTTAAAATGGGCCAATATTTATTGATATCAGCGAAATTCACACCCATAAAGCTTTGGTTTGAAAATGGATCCTTTATATTATAGTGGAACACACCTTATAATGTAAGAAAAATCAAATTCTAATTTTAAAAAATCTAATTAGTTGTCTTTTTTTGTACCACTCTTTACAGAGCTAGACAAATTTACACTCACCAGTTATACACATATATATGTGTGTGCGTGCGTGTGTGCGTGTGTGTGCGTGCGTGTGCGTGTGCGTGCGCGTGCGTGCGTGTGTGTGCGTGCGTGCGTGTGTGTGCGGCGTGCGTGCGTGGGTGTGTATGTATAGAGCTCCATTCTTTGTGAAATTTTAGCACAACATAAAAAATTCACATAAATGGAGATTGAAGGTTCTGTTCAGACAGTGACAAGACAATGCAGGGCAAAAAAGCAGAGAACATATATTCTGCAGAAAATTACACAGAGGCCTCAACTAAATATATCAGTTTGTTTCGGTATTTATTTTGTCCACCCTTCACCTTTATTCCAGCTTCCATTCTTTTCAGGAGACTCACTTTCAGTTTCTCAAAGAAATCTGCAGAAACACCTCCAAAGTTCAGTCTTAGAAGTTGGTTGATCATTTTCTGAAGTAATCACACATTCAGTGATGTTGAGGTCTGGACTCTGGGGTGGTCAGTCCATTGTTCAGCTTCTTTGTTTGATGTGTCCGTCTCCTTTTCTCAGTGAGGTCTTCTTAACAGCTACAAATCCTTTCAGACCCATAGCGCTGAGTTGTCTTCTCACAGTGGAAGGATGGACAGAAACACCTGTGGATGTTTTCAGATCTGAAAAGCTCCTTAAATGAGTGTATCTGAATCAGAATCAGGTTTATTGGGCAAAGAAAATGCCACTGATACAGAGTTTATCTTGGCAGTAGCTCATATTAAGGCAAACATGTAAGTAAAGAAGTAAAATATAAGTGGGGGATTGATAGATATATAAAATGTGGCAAGTGCGAATTGTGAAGATTTACAATTAGACACAATAAAACAATGTTCCAGAATGACCTTTAAGTGTATAAATGCTTTTATGGCACTATTTGTGATGTTAGAAGAGCAGAGGTGGAGCTGAAAGTGATGAGTGAGACATTATGTTTTTCTCCTTAAATTAATCTGTAGAGCTTTAGAAACAACTACCAGCAGTTAATGGCAGGAGACTCTGCCGATGCCCTAATTAGGCTGTTTATTCTGTTGTTTTCTGTAAACATGGTGATGCAGAAAGCTCATGCTTGCACTCCTGATGGGGTGCAGTAATTGATAATGCAGGGCATCAAATAGTCATTACCTTTGAGAATCAGTGGGTAACACTGCTAGTTAAACTGTAAGTTACACAATATGGGTTTAAAGGGCTCTTATTATGGAAAACCTTTTTTTTTAATGCTCTGTGTAAACATTTTTAAAGTTTCAAAGCGTACATATTAAGTCGATACTGTCTATAAAAATGATTAGGTGCTTTACTGTAAAAATAAAAGTAAGCTGTAGTGAGCATTAAATAGTACATTAACAGAATGTAAGGAAGATTATTGTTCTGAAGGCTGAATAGGCGGGGCTTATCGCTGTGATGTCACAAGCATGACAAAACCAGCCGTTTTTGCAGCTTAGTTGTGTAGGACAGCCCATTCAGCCTTCAGCGGCAAGCACCGACTATTCAGCATTCAACGGTAATCCCCATCCATTAGGTCTCCAGTGGTAAGCCCCGCCCATTTAGTCTCCAGCAGTTAGTCCCACTCTTTCAGCCTACAGCACTTTAGCTCCATCTGTTCCACTCGCAGATAATTGACCCTGCCTATTCGGCCTGCAGCAGTTTAGCCCCGCCTATTCAGAGTACAGCCTTTTGGCCCCACCCATTCAGGCTTCAGTGCTTTAGCCCCTCCCATTCAGTCTTCAACAGCTTAGCTCTGTTAAAGTGATGCAGAGTGTTGTTCCTGCAGACAGTTTGTAGTTTGAAGCAGTTATTGGAGTGGAAGGTTCAGCAAAACAAATAAATGTTGTGTGGTTCCTGGCTGTCAGGAATCAAATGGATCATTGCAGCCTTCCAAAGGATCCACACATTCGAAAGGAGCGACTGAAGTTTGTTTTTTCCCACATCCATCTTCCAGCCTAGACAGCTGTTTGAAAAATGCTCAGTACAGGGCAGCCAATCAGAACAGTGCTTATTCACATATCAGTTTTGTAGGCACAGAAACAAAACAGCCTAATTAATTCTAAGCAATAAAAAGAGGTTGGAAAATGACAGTGAAAAATGAATTACACCAGTTTTTGGCACAATAAAGCACACAAACGTTAAGTCAACTGCAGAGAATAAAAAAAGTTGAATATGGGCCCTTTAATGCAAAATACACGATTGAGTGCACACAGATCACTGGGCTCGGGGGTTTCAGAGCTTGCCATCGATCCGCATGATGAGGGAGACAGTCAGTTGTCATTTCTCCCAGACCGATCAATCAGTCCGATCATTCTGCTCTGCCGGCCAGATGTCGTTTTACAGAGATGAGCTCCATCATTATGCAGACGGGAGATATGACCTCTAGTCAAAAACATTGATTCTGTGGGCTAACACCGCTCACGGCCCAGTGCAGCCTTTTAAGTCATTTCATACTCAGATGAGGGGAGTAAGTGGGACGTTTGTTGGAAGCTGACCTCATTCCGTCATGTAAGGCCATGCTAGAAAGCTCCTGTGCACATTAACCAACTGCGTAGCTACAGTAAGAGTCCATACACAGAATGCTGATCTCTGACTTGAAATTTTAGCTGACTGTTGTTTTGGAATAGTAGGTTAAGTTACAGTGTTGCTTGTGGATATTTATAAAATTAACTAACTTGTCAAATATTATTAAATTAATCACCTAATTTATTATGTCGTCTTCAGTCTCTTACTCTTTGCTGTTGATGTCATCAAAGTTCTGTCTGTGCGAGAGTCATTTCTTCTTTTATGGTGCAACAAAACAATCAAAGCACTTTTTAAGACTGTGTGGGTCATATGAACATTATAGAGCACTTTTTAAATGAAACAGTAGAAGCCATATCGCCCCCTACACTTCCTGTAGTGTATTACAGTCTGTCAAAATGACTTTGTGGATCATATGAACATTAAAGAGCGCTTTTAAAAGGAAACAGTAGAATCAGTATCGCCCCCTAAACTTCCTGTAGTGTATTACTGTCTGTCAGAATGACTGTGTCAGCATTAAAGACCATCATTGAATGCTTTTTTAAAAAATTAAACATCATATAAAATCCACTTGTATTTCATTATAGTCATTGTCAGCTTTGTTACATTGTGATATAATAATGTTACTTTAATGTAATGCACTCATATTGTAATTCAGTAATTTTACAATAATGTAACACAGTTACACTATAATTCCGTAATGTTGCGTCAATGTAATTTAGTTACACTGTAATTCAGTAATGTTACATTAATAGGGTTACATTAATTCAGTAATGTTACATCAGTGAGAGATGGTTACACTGTAATTCAGTAATGTTAAATTAATCTAATTCAGTTACACTGTAATTCAGTAATGCTACATTAATCTTATTCAGCTACACTAATTCAGTAATTGTACATTAATGTAATACGGTTACGCTGAAATTCATTAATGTTGCATTAATCTGATTCAGTTACACTAATAATGTAATTCAGTAATGACACATTAATGTACTATGGTTATGCTGTAATCCATTAATGCTACATTAATATAATACAGTTGCAGTATAATTCAGTAAAGATACATAAATGTAAGACACAGACACTGTAATTCACAATTATTACATCCTATATCTGCTGATCTTTTCTCCTTCCAGTCAAAAGGAAAGAAGCCTCTGTTTGTCCAGCTGGTCCTGGATAATATCTGGAGTTTATATGATGCTGTGGTCACTAGAAGGTAATTAGTTTGAAACACACGCATGATATTCATGACTTGATATTTTTGTACACAACTGTTCAAAAGTTGGAGATCACTTGTTAATGTTAATCATTTTTGTGATTTTATGTGCAGTACTAATGTACAGTGCAGATGTAAATATTATAAAGTAGACACCAAAAGCTGTGTTTTAGTTGTTTATTCAATATGAATGTGTTTTAAAGTGTTTTAGGTAGACCCATAAGTAATTAAATGATGGATAATATTTGGTTGGTTTCTATATTTGTGAAGTTATCTGCCTTGAGATTTGATTACCATTTTTCAAAACCAAAACGTTCTGGATATTAATATTAGAACATCATTCTGAATATTAATTTTAATATTAATGTTCTTGGTTTTATTTGACTTTCAGAATCATTTCAGCTCTGCTCATTTCAATACACTCATAACACATTTTATATTTTGTTTTTTGTTTTTTTTTTTCACAATATGTTAAACTCAGCAAGACAATGGCATTTAATTGTGTTCTCTGTAGAGGATGTGTCCACTTATTTTCATGTAGAAAATCAACAAAACATGTTATTTGACCTGAGATTTTTTCGCATACGACTAAACATGATACTGCTAAAGGTTACAGAAAGTAAGAAAAGGCTTGAGTCTGTGGATTAGTAACTGCCACTTCTTTTGATATTTCCAGAGACAAAGAAAAAGTGGAGAAGATGGTGGCGTCTTTGGGCTTAAAAGTGATGGCACGTGACCTACGACACTCGGACCCCAAAGTGCTCCTGAGCGCCATCTGCAGCCAGTGGCTGCCAGTCTCGCAAGCAGTGCTGTGTATCCTTTTCACCAGATGTGGTCATTATATGATGATAATACCACTGAAGATGTTCTCAGCCTGAGCCTTGTGGTGTCAGTCCATGGTTAGACTGCAGTTACACTACAGAGAAAGCATTTTAAAGGTACATTGTGTCTGTGTAGCTGTTCAGTCATCCAGATCACTAATCTGGAGTGCTGTAGTCAACACCATCAGAGTTGTGTCCAAGTCAAGACTTAGACTTTTAAGTAGTCGAGTCAGAGTCACAACTGATTTTTCACAATATAAAAATGAAAACATAAACAGAGAATACTGAAACATTTTGTAGTTCATTGTACATTCATTATCATTCCTTATACATTATATATATGAACAAGCAGTATTATTTTATAATAAATTTTGAAAAATATATCATAAAGTAATAAATAGCCTAAAAATAATATTAATTGTTCATACGTTAGCAAGTCTCTTCTTCTCTAAAGCTCATTCAAAATCACTGAACATAAACCAAACAACACACATCCATTTTTATTGGATTAATGGAAACATAGTAATAATAACATTCTGCTCTGCCTTTAGGAGATGTTTGAATTTTTGAAAATAATACCCAGTTATGCCATCATGGAAAGATCAATTAGATACTTAACCGCACAGATATTATTTAAAGATGCAGAGAAAGGAATGTTTTATTTTGTTTAAAGGTGTTGTTGATATTCAGGAATGATAGAAAAAATAAGTTCAGTTTCCAATAACCTCAGATGTCCACCTTAAACCGAGTGACCAAGACAGCACTACTGCTTTGAAAGAATTAAAGCATCTGGATTTGTAGTTTTATATTGAAGACATTTCATTTTCTGCACTTGCAGGACTTGTTACTTTATCAGTTCAAAACCATCAGATCTCAAAATTAAACCACAAGTCCAGAAAATCTTTAAATTAAACAAAATCCTGACCAATACTCAGGTTTGCTGCTACTACAATTTGTAGCTATATGCCATACTTTAACCCCTTAAAAGGCCATCGTCCATTGGTGCGTCCAAAGTTTTATTACGCACTTCTGTAACCAGTTAGCATTGAAGTCCCTGTAGTTACTGAATGCTACACCTTAGAATATAATAAGCCTGAGATTTTACATGGTTAATCAATGTTCATAGGTAACAAAATGACATACATTGTTGGAAACCATGTAATCAATTAGAGATTTCTGAATAACTCCACACAGTTTGAGGTAAGTGTGTGATGATTTATGCAGCCAGCACAGTGCTGATTGGTGGGGTAAATGCTACTGTTTCTTAGTAGTTATATTAGCCTCATAGCTCAAATCCAAAACTAGACACCATGTCGTCCCCTTGGAGTTATAAGGTTCTGTCTGCATTCTGAACAGTTTTGAAATATTGAGCTTCAAAGATTTTTCATCCCAAATAACAAAACTGATGCGTGGAACATGTCTCTTTCATACTTGAACATGAAAGCCACTCTAATAGTATTCTAAATATGCAATATCAAAATCTTATCAGATTTGTAAATGAGTTTTTGGGGAAAAGGTCTTGAGGTTTTGTTTTATATCAGAAATGTGACTAATGCACCAAAATTTTGGAAAAAAGAAGAAAAAGACAAGATGGATAAATTCAAATGTTTACTATTTAATTACCTTTAAGGCTTAATGTTTATAACATTTAAGACAATAAGACTTTCTAAAGTAAGAGGACAGGCAGAGTTTCAGCCATGTTTTCATGTTTCATAAAGTTTTATAAACTTTTCCTGCAATCTCTGAGCGGAGCGGGGACATGACGAAGAAGCAGATTCTGATTGGTCCTTGTGTGTATTCAAAGTGCTGGTTGGATCACAAATAGGACCTTATAGAACTAAGTTAAAGTGTGATTTTGTTGATAGAACCTTTTTGTTTTCTAGATAAAGAGTCCAAAAATACACATAACTTAAACACCTCACATGATGTTAAGAAGTTGTCACAGAATATAAATATGTGAATAACTCAATTTTGACAAAAATGTCAGATAGAACCTTATAATTCCAAGGGGACGAAATATGTCTTGAGGCTTTGGCTAAGGTGGGTGGGCATTAGTGTAAAATTGTAAAAAAATTTTTGGGCAACACTGCAGAGTTAAAACTGTCTAACTATTCCTGATTTGATATCTCATATTCTGTTCTTCATACCACCCCTGCTTCCTACGTGGCATTATTTTAGTATCTCTGTTTTGTGTGTAGAAGGGTTAGTTTCCATTATGAAAAACGTCCTGTGGTTTCTACTCCATACTTAGAAACATCACCCCCCACCTCCTCATCACCTGACTCGACTCCAGCAGCTGAGAGAGGGAGGCGCCGTTCAAGCCCATTATAATTAAGAAACTCAATCACTGCAAGTCTGAAGAGAGAGAAACAGCTAATAATTGCAGTTCCACCAGGTGTTCCATAGACTGCTGCTCTCCCCAACGACCGGTTTCTCTAACTAATCAATCCCTCAGATCCATTCATAGCTGCACAACTACTATTTATAGTGCGTATGTCAATAGTGTGGTGTACACCAGCCTGTCATTCAGAGAGTTTTAGTTTGAGGGGATTTCATGTGGTTATAGAAGAATGTTTGATTTTATGGGCTTGTGGTAAAGAAGATTGTTTTGTTTTTGTGTCTTGATGTTTGGCTCCTCATCCAGCTTCACCAGTTCAAAATGATTAAATGACTAAACCAAATTTGACCAAATTTTCAATTTCTGCTCAATTCAGTGTTGAAGGTGTAAGCAGAGTCATTCCTTAGAACACTCTGCATGTACCTCCCCACCATGAATCAATTTAAAAATACGTTTTAGGCCAAAACTTCTCAAAACTTGCATCTCAGACATCGGGAAGTGTATTCATAACCATTTCATGTAATATTTTGTGAGAAAAATCAGTGGAATTCCTCTTTAAACCACAAGTCCAGATCATAAAATATCTTCATTTTGAGATTGTACACTACACTCTTAAAAAAGATGGTTCTTTAAGGGTTCTTTAGTAAAGAAAATGGTTCTATATAGAACCATGAACATTCACCCTTTGCATGATTAAAGCGTTCTTTGCATCATGAAAGGGTTCTTCAGATTGAAGCAAAATCTGCATGGATGTGCTACAGATGGTTCTATAAAAAACCTTTTTGAAACGAGTTCTATATAGCACCCAAAGGGTTCTTGTATTGTTACAAGCTTGATACTCTAACGATAGAAGAGCCCTTGTGGGTGCTATATAGAACCATTTTCAATTCTCTATCAATCTGAAGAACACTTAATCATGCAAAGGGTGAATGTTCATGGTTCTATATAGAACCGTTTTCTTTACTAAAGAACCCTTGAAGAATCATCTTTTTTATGAGTGTATGTAGTACCAGAAAGGGTTCTGAATATTAGCAAAAAGGTTGATCTTAGTGGAACCCTTTATGGTGCCATATAGAACCATTTTTGAAAAGCTCTTTAAAGAAACTTATACAACAGGTTCTTAGTCTTTGAGAAGAACCAGGCAAAGAACCATATAAACATCTACATGTGTTTTTAAGTGGACATGGTTCTATATATTATTGTTGCCTGTAGTAACATAACATCTTCAAAGCAAGTCCTGTTCTGTTAACTTAGCACTACTAGGTGATTAAGGGAACATCCTGTTTTGTATGAAATCTTCCTGACAGTTTTAATTCTGTAATGTTGTCACACCATTCAGAGCGTGAATTATTCCATGTTTGAGTTTTTGCCTTAACTCTGCTAAGCGATGGTGTGCGAGAAACTGCCATCTCCATCTGAAATCAGTGCTGAGAGGGTGGAGAGGCTGATGAGTGTCGGCACACGCAGGTTCGACTCACTGCCTGATAAAACACAACAACTCAAACAAGGTGAGATGGGGAACAGTCTTGTTTTGTGAAAGGGAAATAACATCCTTTATATTTTTGCCATGTTTTTGTGATTTCGTAACATTGAAACGAACAGATAAATGCTGGAATGCAGACTCAGACTTGAGGGGTCCAGAATGTGAGGCGTATATAAATGTAGTAACAGTTAACTACACAATGTGGCCAAAAGCCTCTAATAATTGAGTTCAGGTGTTTTAGCCACATCCATTGCTAACAGGTGTATAAAGCCAGACACAAAGCTATGCAATCTCAATATACAAACATTAGCAGTAGAATCAGTTCTATTGGAGAGCTCAGTGACTTTAAATGTGGCACTATTGGTTGCCACAAGTCCGTTCATGAAACTTTTGCCTTGCTAAAGGTGTCCTAGTCAACTGTAAGTGCTGTTGTTGTGAAATGAAAGAGCAACAATAGCTCAGCTGTGAAACAGTAGACTGTGCAAACTTACTGAGCTGGGGGCGACAGCTAGAGTGGTGTAAACCATGCTGTCACGTGGTCTGGGTTTGGTGGATGCCAGGAGAACGCTACCTACCGGAATGCTCAGTGCCAGCAGTAAAGTTTGGTGGAGGAGGGATAATGGGCTGGGGCTGTTTTTCAGGGTTTGAAGGGTGATGTTAATGCTACAGCACACAAAGACATTTTAGACAATTATCTAGATTATTTAGACAATTATTTTCTGACAATTGAAAGTAGCTCTAAAACCTATTACAAAACAATATCTCAGGCAGCATTCTTAACAATTTCATATGATAACCTATGTGAGTAACCTTATAAAGTTATTAAATCTGTCTGACATCTCGTTCCCATCACCACCTCTGTTTTCAATTCTGCCTCAGTAAATTTCTTTAGAATGGAGCATTAAACCAGTCTGAATAACTTTGTTTATATCTTAACCATCAAATGATGAAGAAAATTTTGAAAAATCAGAAATTTTCTTTAAGTCTGATACACTATGTGGACAAAGGTATTGGGACACCCCTCCTAATTATTGAGTTCAGGTGTTTCAGCCACACCCATTGCTAACAAGTGGATACAATTTAGCACATAGCCTTGCACTTGATAGACAAACACTGGCAGTAGAATAGGTCATATATGTGATGAGCTCAGTGACTTTGAACATGGCACTGTCATAGGATGCCACCTCTGCCACAAGTCAGTTTGTGAAATTTCTGTCCTGCTAGGTCTGCCCCATCAACTGTAAGTGCTATTATTGTGAAATGTAAGCATCTAGGAGCAACAACAGCGCACAGTGCTTGTCCTCTGTTGAGTCACTCACTAAAGAGTTCCACATTGCCTCTGGAAGCAACATCAGCAAAAGAACTGCACGTTAGGAACTTGACAAAATGGGTTTCCATGGCTGAGCAGCTGCACACAAGCCTAAGATCAAAATGCTCAATGCCAAGCGTTGGATGGAGTGGTGTAAATACGTTGCCACTGGACTCTGGAGCCATGGAAACGTATTTTGTGGAGTGACGAATCGCGCTTCTCTATCTGTCTGTCTGATGGACGAGTCTGGCTTTAACGAATGCCAGGAGAACGTTATCTGCCTGACTGTACTGTGCCAGCTGTAAAGTTTGGTAGAGGAGGGATAATTCTATGGAGTTGTTTTTCAGGGGTTGACCTAGAGCCCCTTTGTTCCAGTGAAGGGAAATCTTAATGCTTCAGCAGACCAAGACATTTTAGACAATTGTATGCTTCCAACCTTTTCTGTTCCAGCATGACTGAGCCCCAGTGCACAAAGCAAGGTCCATAAAGGCATGGCTGGGTGAGTTTGGTGTGGAAGAACTTGACTGACCCATACAGAGCCCTGACCTTTACCCCATCGAACACCTTTGGGATGAACTAGAACGGAGATTGTGAGCCAGACCCTCTCGTCCGGTTGACGAAAAACAGAGCTGAAACACTCCTTATAATTTAGTGAGCAGGGCTAAACTGCTGTAGGCTGAAGAGGTGGACGTTGTCACATCACAAAAACAACAAATTCACAGCAGGTTTTTGGAGTTTAATTTCCATGTATGCATTGTATGGATTGAGGAGTGAACAGTACAGTTTTAACTTTAACAATGTTTGCATGCTACATTAAACTTTGTTGTTTAAAAGAAAGTGATGAAATTTAGATTTACATATGGGCCCTTTAAAATAGTGTGATAAAGACCCTCACATTAAAGCCCAAGAATTGGTTTTGTGTTGATAATGTAACTTGTTTTTTTAACAGACCATCTCTTTCCTTGGTTGGGGCAGTTTCCTGTACATTGGTAAAAACAGCAGATGTGGAAATAATGTTTTTTTTGCTCAGTTTTTTTTTTGCCTTTTTCATACTCAGTTCTTTGCCAGTAGTTCTCCACAGAGCATGTTTTGTTTTGAAACAAGACAAGGTGTGAAGAGAAATTAGCTGTTGAGCATTTTCTCAGAGCCCGGGTATAACCATTAAATCAGTTCTGCCTTTGCTTGACGGTTTTTACCCTATAAGATTTGTACAAATATATTTAGTTATGAAAAATGTTATGCAATGCAGAAAAAAATCTGGAAAACCTCCAGGGGTCTGAATACTTTGACATGTGGCTCAGAGCGGCTCATATATTGTACAGTATAAATAAACACGCTCCACCCGTTTGATCTTTGTGGACCTTGGCCTTCATCGGCCTGCGGCAGTGGCCTCCTGTCATGTTCTCCTTTTATAAAGACTTAGATTTCTGTGAAATATTCAGGGCTATTTTGGAAGACTGTGCTGGTGCCTCGTCTGTGTGAAAGGGTTTTTTTTGTAGCTAGCCTTGTTGAAGGATGATAGAAGGAGCTGGCAAGTTTAAGCTGAAATTCAGCAGCCTCAGGAAATTGAAAATTTTACTTTAAAAAGTTAAAAGAGGTGTTTTGGCCCTAAACTAACATTTAAGATGTTATTTGCCATATTATGTAATACTCTATAGTGCAGAAATGTATCACTAAGCCTTGGTTTGACAGACGTGTATAATTTTTGTGTTTTTCATCAGATACATCATCAGAAGGTTTTTGTTTTTTGTTTGTCATTAAACTGGAAAATTACACTCTAAAGAGCACCACAGCAATTGTTTAGGATGTTTACAACATGTTTACAGCAGATGTATTAATGGTTTCATTTTTCCATGTTGGTCTGAGTGTCATTTTAAAATATCTTCCTCCTTTACAGCCACTGTCTGAAATGTGTATATAAGCAAGAGTGGGTAAAATGTAAGATACAGTACAGAGTCCCAAACAAGCTGAAACAGCTAAACAGTCTCATATTAAAGCTAAATGTTATGCGCAACAATAAATAACAGCTTAGGTAAGGAACAGCAGGAAGAGGCAGACAATTGATAGAACATAAATACATACATAAATACATACATAAATGATGACATGATTGCCTGCCGTACAATCAGCTACTTATTACTGTGCAGTTTATGCAGTTATTATATTGTTGTTTGCAGACTAGAGGTAGATGATATGGCAAAAATATAACATCGCGATACAGAAGTAAACCTTCACGATACACGATGTCACAATATTTATTTTGCAGGCATCTGATCAGGGAAAAAAGTGCTAAAAAAAAGTGCTAAATTTTAAAAATTTAATGTCAAAAACTGTGAATACAATGATTTTTATTCAATATTAGGCACTAAATCCAATTAAGCTGGGCTAATTTTCATCTCTTTATAATGAAACATGCAGTTGGCCAGTGTTCAACAATACTGACGATATACAATCTGCTCACAATCTGCGTGTTGTATGGTGAGATAATCTATCATGATAACAATACATATTGTCATATCTAACAGTCTTATTAAAAACTCTATAATTGGTCTAAATATGTCTTCTTTGTGACCTGTGCTTGTTCAGTGTTCTTTAGGCATTGACCTTACACTTATACACTCGTAAAAGCACATAGTAAGTGTATGATTGTTGCTAAGAACTGTCTCAGAGTTGTTTAACTCCCCCTGTCGTTTCTGTGTCCACAGCGTTCTTGGAGTGCGCGAGTGAAGAAACAGCTCCAGTCATAGTATTTGTGTCAAAGATGTTCGCTGTGGACTCCAAGGCCCTCCCTCAGAACAGACAGAGGTGAGTCAGTCATTAGCTTATGTGTTAGTACCTGTCTGCTTATGACTTCTACTTAACACTTATGTATGCAGGCACTGTGTCTGATACACTCGTACCAGTACCACACAACAAAAAGCAGCCCGGGAATTTGCTGTCAAGCGGCCTTAATTTGATATAACAAATTTGAACTAACACAACATCGATCAATGTTTGTCGAAAAAAAAAAAAAAACAGTCTAATCACCTGACTCCAAATTTGACTTGATAGCCTCCTTTTATTGTCTGAATTATTTAAAATATAGCACTGAATCCCCAAGGTTAACAGAAACATTTTAGTTAGTTAATTCAGCTAGTTTACTCAGCTAGTTCACAGCACAAGCATGACAAAGCACCTGCTCCCTGTTCATTCCTCCTCTTCGATGTTTCTGCCTTTTCGCCACTCATCACCTGCATACTGCTTAAATAAGCCTGCTGTCTCAGCACATTTTTCAATGTCAGCCAGCAAAGCCTGGCTTACCTTTTTAGCACCGCTGATCGCAGGTTTTCTCTTTCTATCCATGCTTCGAGTGCAATTTAGATACTAATCTGGCTGGATACTAGATACTGTGATGCGGAGGGTTTCCCCAAGATCCTTAAAAGAGTCAAAGGTCTCTGCTACGTTCACTTTACTTGCAGAGAACTAGCGTGAAAAGCACAAGCGAAGCACACAGATTCTGCTAGCTCTAGCTACCTGTTAGCATAGCTCTGATTTCTTTACAACTCTGGTTTCTTTTAATGCTGGTAGTATTTTCTGATAAAGACATTTAGACTGTCAGACTATCCTATCTGTAGTTTTAATACGAGGCAGAATTTGGCTTCCTGTTCACCAGCTTCTTGTTTAGATTTTCCCATTCCTCTTTTTATGGTGCAGTAGTTACATTCTGGTGCCTGAGGCATTACAGTAGTAACAGCCACTATTTGAGGTGGAACAGGAAAATTTGAACAAGAAGCTGCTGCATAAAAAGCTGACTTCAGCCTTGTAGTTTTGATGCTGGTAGTATTTTTTTCATGAGGAGGTTTAAGCTATGAAAAAATCCTATCTAAAAAACACCTGGCACTACAAGCACTACCATGTCAGTGATGCTGCTGTGATAAAAAATGGACCACCGCCTAAATAATGTCTGGTCAGTAGTGGTCCCATGGTGGGCCCTTTCCACTGATTGATAGAGAGGGGCCGATCAGTTTTGCAGGAAAATTTGTGTTGTGGACCTGTATGGTAAGCATTTCTGACCAAATGGCATATGAGTGTAATTGCAAAGAAGGGATTTCGAATCATCTATCAATTCAAGGGGCAGTTGGTCCGTTCGTTTTTTGTTTTTGTGAAAACATGCGCTACTTTGTCAGTCCAGCAGCGGCTATCACCGGTAGCAAGCAGTGGCATCATATCAGTTTTCTCTGTTTGCACAAAAACAGCAATTTATGATTAGGCTTTTATTATGTCTCTGAAACAGTCCTTTCCTGTCAAGCCATGGTGATATCTTGGCAGTAGTCAGAGGTCGGACTGTTAAGGCTCCTTAGAGTTCTAATTTGAGGCGATAATGATGAGGCTGAAGTTGGTTAGCCCATTCACCTTGTTATTCAAATTTTCTGTTCCACCTTAAATGATACAGCATGTGCCTGCACCATTTAAGCTGAAGTGGAAAATATGAATAAGAAACTGGCTAGTGAGCCATCCAATAAGACAAATACAGCTGAGCACGTTAGCTCATTTGTTAGCGACTTAAAAAACTTGGTCAGAATCTTGTTGCTTACTGATGAGAGTTGACCAAAAAGCTGTTTTCAGTTCAGCTAAAAGATGCTGTTCATCACTGACACATTCAAACATTCTTAACAACCTTCTCAGGGATGCCAGATTGACCAGGATTCCAAGGAATAGCATGTAATGTTACTTGCTATGACAGCAATTGTTTCAGTGTGTTTGCAGTGCAGTTTTTCAAGTTATGTAAATAAGTATTAATATTAGTATAATATAAATGCTACTGATAAGATTTAAGAAATGTTTCAGGCATTTCTGCAGTGAGGTGTTCTGTGATGGTGTGTGTGTGTGTGTTAAAAGTAAACACATTTCCTCAGTCATTTTATTCTTAAGCTATTATTATTATTAGTAGTAGTAGTAGTATTATCATCATTATTATTATTATTGTTGTTATTATTATTATTATTATTGTTGTTGTTGTTGTTATTATTATTATTATTATTATTATTATTATTATTATATTTACTCTTACTCCTCAGTGAGAAGTTGGAGTCATGTCATGAAGCCGGAGTTACCTATATGTGTGTGCTTTTTCTTGTATTATAAGTAAAACTACTGTTGTATACATACACATCCCTCGTTGCAGATGAGTGAGTGGCCTTTCCACTCGTGTGGATTTTTCATGACAGCCTAGTTACTGTTTTCTATAAATGACAGTGCTCTGGTTTTCCTAAGACAAGACCTATAAACTACAAAATGTCCAAATCAACCCACAGAAACTATTTTTCACAAGGGAATGAAGTTTATTACTCACTACATCTCATACTCCTGCTTTACAGACATTTTGAATGACTCCTTGCACTACAACATATTATCAGCAAACAACACGATTGGCAAAATTTAACTCTGCACACAACTGGATTACACCATTTTCCAGAGGTAACTGGGTATTTGGATATGAAAGCAAATGAAGGCAGTATCAAGTACGTAGTTTACTGAATCTCTTATCCCTGAAAACGTTAAAATGTCAGCTTGCCCAACTAACTGTGGTATAATATTGCACTGTTCTCTATTTATTAGTGTGAATGTGAACACACGTGTGTTTCTGAGCCACTGAAATGAGAATGTGTTTCAGTGCCCACTCTGAGTGTGATCTCAACATCTCTGTTCATGCCAAACCATGCTTGACCTCCAACAGCCTGAGACCCTCCCTTCCCTCTGTTCTGTGTGTGTGTGTGGGTCTTCCCTGATGCTGTATTGGCATGTCTCGGTGACTGTGTGCTGTGTTTGTGCTTTGTTTTATATTTCCTCAGGCTTTAGCAGTGAAGTGTCTGAGGCGTTCTTTGTAATGTGAGTCAGTAAGCTATAACCTTTGGCGTTGTGGGTTCCTTCTTGTGTGTTTTAACCATAAAAAAAGACAAAATGAGCTTTCTACAGTGCATGAGGTATTTTTAACTCAGGGTTTTAAAACAGGATTTTAAATTGGTGTTAGCTTCAGGTAGACGAACGAGCTGGTGAGAAAGACGCTAAAGGGCTTTGAGAGTTTCTGTTCTTTTCACAAATTTAATTGTTAGGAATTAGCTCAGGCTGTCCAATTTTGAGTCCAGAAAGTTCATAATTAACCCAGGCTGGGTAGTTTTAGGTCCAGAAGTTCCTCACTTCGTCATCTGTCATGGCAGCATTTCGTACTGGGTAGTCCCTCACTTCGTCATCTGTCATGGCAGCATTTCGTACTGGGTAGTCCCTCACTGCATAATCCCTTTGTGCCTCATTCCATTCTGCTTCATCCCTCGCTGCACCTTCCTTTGCTGCATCATCCCTCACTGTAACATTCCGTACTGTGCCATCCCTTGCTGCGTCATCCCCTTGCAGTGACATTCTGCATTTCATCATCCCTTGTGGCGTTTCCCCTCACTGTAACATTCTGCAGTGTGTCATCCCTTGCGCCATCATTCCTCGCTGTGACGTTCTGCAGAGGGTCATTCCCCTAATACCACATGCAGTGTGCCATTCTCGCTGTGGCATTCAATTGAACCCTCGTTGCAACATTCTGCAGTGCATCGTTCCTCGCGATGTCATCCCTTGCGCCGACATTCTGCCGTGCGTCATCCCTTGCAGTGTAATTTTTCGCGTCAAAATTCTAGAGTGTGTCATCTCTCGCTACGTCATGTTGCAGTGTAACATACTTTGCTTGTGGCATTCTCAGTGAATCCTCCCTCGTGGCGTCATCCCTCGCCAGTGCATCAGCCCTTGTTGCAACATTCTTATGTGCATTATCCTTCATGGCATCATTCCTCGCGTCGTCATTCTGCAGTGCATCATCCCTTGCAGTGTCATCTTTCGTGTTGACATTCTGCAGTGCGTCATCCCTCATTTGTGATATTCTCAGTGAATCCTCCCTTGGGCCATCATCCCATGTAGCGCCATCTCTTGCCAGTGCGTCAGCCCTTGTTGCAACATTCTACAGTGCATCATCTCTAGCTGCGTCGTCCCTCACCAGTGTGTTATCCCTCACCGGGGCATTGCATGCTGTGCTCTCTCACTGCATTATCCTTTGCATCATTGTGCTTCACTGGGTCGTTCTTCACTGTATTATGCCCTCGCTGTCACTCCTTCACTCCACACTGTGTCATTCCTCACTACATCATTTGGCAACATGTCACACCCTGCTGTCATCTTTCATTGCATCATTGTTCACTGCATCACCTCTCGCTTAGCCGTTTTCACTGCATCATTTTTACCCGCATCACTCCCACTACGAAATTTTTTACTACATTATTCTTCCTTGCATCACTCCTCACTGTCATTTCGCACTGCATCACCTCTCACTGTCATTTTTCCGTGATGTTTTTCACTACATTATTCTTCACTACGTCAACCTTCACTGCATTGTTTTTCACTGCATCTTTTTTCGCTGTGTCATCCCCCATTGCTTCAACCCTCACTGTCATTCCTCATTGAGTCACTGCTTACTCTATCATCCATTGAGAAAAATGTCTATAGTGACTGCACAAGCATTGATCGTATTGGCGGAGACCTGCTTGTTTTGTGTTTGCCTTTGCTCTTTTGTTTGAACTCCGTGCTCTATCCAACCTAAATTATGTTTAATTGTAAGCGTTCTCTCCTCATTCTCTCAAACTAAAACTTCTGCTGCTGATTCTGGTGACACCAGCTATACTTTTGCTGCCTCAAAGTGATGACTCTGTGAAAAATAGCATTCACATAATCCTCCCCTTACTTCAAATGAAGTTGATCAGCTAAGACATGTTTGGTTCTACTTAAGGTTT